TTCGGGAAGACGACGATGGGGTTTCCTTTTGGGCCTACGGTTGTTATCACGCCCGGGGGGAGGGGAGGGGGGGTTGCTGCTGCTACGGGGGTTGTGGAGGGGGAGGATGAGGAGGATGGAGGGGTGGCGGTTGGGATCAGCCGGGGGATGTTGTTGGGGGTGGTGGTGGGGTGGTTGGCGTGGATGGTTTGAGACATCCATCCGTCCGCTATTGGGATAGGGAGTTTATGGAGTTCTTGGATTGTTATATCCTGTAGTGTGAACATGAAAAAATGGGGTGTTATGGGTGGCTTTTGGCTTTTGGCTTTTACTTTTTGGGTTTTTTTTTTTGGTACGATTGGAGAAGTATTATACCCCGGGGATGAATCCAACGGGGGGTGTATTGTGGGAGAAATGTACAGCTTGACTTGTACAATTGAGATAGGGGAACAGCAGCAGTAGTAAATAGCTGAATTGGGAGGAATGGTATGAAATATTATGGGTTTTAAATGCATTGTGAGAGCTATACACCGACTGTGATATCTCTGAGGGGAACATGCAATTCTGATACGGCCCGGTTTCTGGCGCCAGCAACATCAAGACTCGAGGGAAAGTATTTTGGACTATCAATGGATTAAATCCGGCCTTCTAGAAGTACACCGAAACATGAGGGACTACGTGATAAACAGCAGCCGTCAAACCACATCATCTTTTAAACGAAATATTCACAATACCCCCCATTGAACACCTGCCTACCTACCTACATGCAACTCCCTTCGAGAACCCTCCAGCACCTAAAATCAGGGTCAAACCAAAGGAGGGTACCACCCGGCTCCGACTCCCATCTCCCACGAGCCACTCCATCTCGGCAGTAGTGCAAAATGACACCTCTTCTCATCCCGCTCACACCATGAAGGACCAAACCAGCCACACCGCACCACCCACCCACCCACCATCTGTCTACGGTACCTACACACACACACACACACACACACACACACACACACACAAAATTTCCAAAAATAAACCACACATGTTCGCGGTTGCAGATCTACGACACTGCAGTATCTTGCTCTACACATCTCACACGCAAATGTATACAACGTTGCTAGTCTACCACCCTTCCCCTTCCATCACTCATTGATGACAGAACTGTTTGGTGATGATTACTTAACCCTTCTGTTCCCACCTTGGACGCGCGGCTCTTTCTTGTACGCACCAACTCACAACCTAATGTTGGATTCTATCCCCATGTTCCACGGCAGTTAGAGGGTGGTGAACCTCTAGCTACCACACCTTTGAACAGGCTTCCCAACATGCGGGATACTCGTTGGACAGGAAAGGTCCTGATGAACAGACATCAAAAGCACCCGTATCCGATCCACATGCCTCCGGGGACAAGCCTTAAAATCCCTGATTAGACACCCGACATTCGAACGCTCGTATGCTGTCTAGCAACCCCTATTCCCCCTATCCACAACATTGCCCCAAGATCCGATTCATCATGAGCCTCGTGCTGTCCAGCAGCTTGGTCATCTAAATAGACATAAAGCAGTGCAGGTGTCACAACCTCAAGCCACAACCTCGTAAAAGCCCCCGTGGTCAAATGCTGTGTTATCATTACTCCCGTGCTGTGTCATACAAAATCAACAGAGATAGTTCTCCTTCGTCTTTCATTCACCTCTTCGACCACACAAGCTCCTAGCCAACGCCTAACCTTCCACAATCCCCGTCACCCACACCACCATCCTTAACCCTCATGAACTCTAACCAACCATACTCAACCACAATCCCATTCCCATCCCATACCAAGAAAGCTGAGTATCTCAGCTCGAATCCCTCACCCAACCAGGACACTCCCCAAACTCCCCCACCACCTCCCCCTCCCCCCTATCCGCAGCCTCCAGCCCCTCCTCCCAGCTCTCCCTAAACCTCTGCCCAAGCGCTTCATACACCCCAGGCCACCCAGCCCTGACCGCATTCCCCCCGTACCTCTTCGCCCCCTCCACCGCAAACTTCCCCTGCTGCCTCGCAATAAACCCCTGCAGCAACCCCCCGTAAACCAAGCCCGCAACAACACTCTCGACACTGTCCACATCCGGCTTCTTATTCCCAAAAATCAACCCCTCGGACGGCATCAAGTACTTCGGCCCCCCCGGCGGAGGGACAAGTTCCCCAAATCCGGCCCGAGTATACCCCTCGAGCAATCTCTGCACATACGTCGCCGTAGTCCACCACATCCTCAAAAGCCAACGAAG